GAAAGGGGGGGGGGGGGGGGGGGCTGAGGGTTCGCCGACGAGGGCCTCGGGCAAAGGGGGGGGGGGCGGGGGGCGGGGGGCCCGGGGACGTTTCTGTTGGTGTCGCCGACGGAACGGCTCGGGGCAGGGGGGGAGGGGGGGGGGGGGTTCGTCCGACCACGGCTCGGGCAAGGGGGGGGGGGGGGGGGGGGGGGGGTTCCGAACCCCCCCCCCCCCCCCCTTTGGGTGATCAGCGGCGCGCCCTCTCATTATTTCCAGCGCCATGCCACGGCATGGTTTTCGGTCCTTCCAACTAGGCCCCAATATCTAGGAGATGCCCCCCGAAGAAACCATTGCAAGTGATTCTTGGGCTTACGCCGCGCCGCTGACCCCTTGGGGGGCTCCTGGAAGGTCTTTCAGGGGCCTCCTGGCAGCTCTTTTGAGGCCTTTGGGGGGTTGTTTTGGAGCCTCTTGGAGCCTCTTGGGGGCTTTTTGGGGGCCTCGTGAGGCTTCCTGGAGGCTTCTTGGGGCCGAGGGCTCGAAATTTCATTTGGGTCCCCCGTCTGGGCCCCCTCCTGGAGCCGTCTTGGGGGCCTCTTGGGCCGTCTTGCGGCCCTCTTGGGCCGTCTTGGAGCCTTCTTGGGGTCTTCCTGGGCCGTCTTGGGGCGATCTTGGAGGCCTCTTGGGCCGTCTTGGACGTTTGAAAGCCCAAGAGGCGAATGTGCTAAAACCATACGTTTCCTTAAAGGAATGGGACGATTTTTGCTTCTGGGGGCCCTCTTGGGACGCCTCTTGGGGGCCTCCTGGGGCGTCTCAGGGGCCTCTTGGGCTGTCTGGGGGCCATCTTGGGCGTTTTGGAACGATCCATCGGCGACTCGGGGCCCTCTTGGACCATCTTGTGGGCCTCTTGGGGACCTCATGGCCCGTCGTGAGGCCCGTGACGCGTTCAGCCGGGTCCGGCCGGACCCCCCCCTCCAAACCGACCGGGCCGGGCCCCGGGGGGAGGGGTTTGGGGAGGGGGAAGCATCTCACACGCCGATGACCCCAAGGGGTCGGCGGATCACACATTCGGTGTCGAGTCGTTGATTTTTGGGCCGCAGAAGCCCCCCCCACCTTGGGGCGTCGCCACGCCATGCTATGTCATGCCACGCGCTGATTTTCGGCACCATGCTATGCCATGTAATGCTGTGCTATGCTGCGGCATCCGATTGTGCGCATAGAGAGGCTATCTACGTCATGGTAAGGGACGGGGGGGAGGGGCAGGACGTCAGATGTGACGCGAGCGGTTCTTAGCTTGTCTCCTCCCCCTCCCCCCTCCTCCGTCGCCCTGTCCTCCCCCCGCTCTCCCCCTCCCTCCTCTCCTCAGACATCCGACGATCTGAGTTTTTCAATGCATGGCCCCAGAGTGCTCGGGTTGTCTCGCATTGCATGCTGTCCAGACGCGCCAGATTCCCGAGGCCACGGCCTCGCCCACCCGGTCTTGAGCAGGCCTGGACGCTGTCCGCAACGGTGGTCGCATCGCATCGCAGAGTGCTCGGGTCCATTTCTGATGGCCCCGGGGCCCCACAACGGTCCCCCGGAGGCCGGAATCAGGGAAGCACTGCCAGTTGAAAGAAACAGATCGTCGGAAATCTGGGTCCCCGTATCCCGAAACTGCTCCCGCAGCCGCTTCACGTCCTCCTTCGCCGGCGCCTACGGCACGCTAGCACTGTCGTCCAGCGGCCTCGTCAGCGCTTCTGGCGAGGCGCCTTCGCTTCCGCCGCCCTTTGCTCCCGACAGGAGGATGAGGAGGATGGGTTCGACCCTACTGTCAAGACGCTGAAATAAGGAACAGTTTGGGTTCGGAAGGGGGTCGATGTTTCTTAGGTTCCTCCCGTGCTGTTCCTCTTGCCCTCCTGGGGCACGGAGGCGCTTGCAGGGCCAAGATGGGGCTCCGGTCCTTATTTAGCGTTCCTTCTTTCAGCGGCCCGACTGTACCCTCCCTGCCCCAGTGCCCTCGAGAAGAGCGAGGTCGATGCAGCGCAGGCGTGGACGGCGAGCCGAGCTCTCTGATGGCGCGGCTTGGCGGGGTGGCGCACGGCTCACCGCCTTCGCCACCCGCCGAGCCAGGGGCCTCCGGAGACCTCTCGGGAAGGGGCAGGCGAGCAGCCAGGGGGGAGCGTGCCTGCAAGTGAAGCGTGAGGAGAGAGGAAGCAGGGCTGGAGGGAGGTACAGGGAGGGAGCGGGGGAGGACGGCGGGGAGCGGGGGAGGGAGCGGGGGAGGATTGTGATGAGGAGGAGAGCGAGCAGGACCCTGAGGTCCGACGCTGCGACAAGCGTCGCAACATCGCGGAAGAGCACCGCCAGAGCTCCAGATCCAACCTTCCTGCGGCGTGCCTCGAGCTGGACCCAGGGCCCGCAGCTGGGCCTACAACGCCCCGTGGCAACAGATTGCAGCGCCCGGTGCTCCGGAGGGGGAGGAGGAGTCTTCCAGCGCCCCCCGTCCCCGAAGCGTCAAGTCGGGCCTGTCCCTCTATAGGCGGATTGTTCAAAAACAGTCAAACAAAATTAGCCTGACGAAGGACCCAACCATATGCAGGTGTGAGTACCGCAATTGTGATTCACGCTTTCGGTGGTGATTCCTATGAGGCAACGAACCGTGCTAGGGGTGTGCCGAAATGAATGGCGTGGTACACAACGCGAACGAAAACGATTGATCAGAGTACGTAGGGAGACTGAGCGCGGGTGAATCTGAGCGCGAGTGCGCCTGGCCTTAGTGGGCCCTAGAAACGACAGGGCCGTCTTTTTACCGGTTCCGTTTTACCGTTTTTTTGCCGGTTCCGACGCCGTTGTTTTACCCGTTCCGTCGCCGTTTTTTGACCGGTTCGGGCTCCGGTTCCAATCCTGGAGCCTTTTTTGCCGTTTGGGGTCGCCGTTTTTTTTGCTGTTTCCATTTTCAAGGGATAGTTGTTTGGAAACGGTGGAAAAAACGGCCCTGCCGTTTCCGGGGCCCACAAAGCGTCTGGCTGTGAATGAATCTGCGTGCGAGCGTGTCTACGTGCATGAATGCGAGTATGACAAAGCATGGTGTAATTGTATATGAATGTCAATAGTTTGAGAATGACTGCCACTGAGTGCTCGTGACGCTGGGCGTGGCCGCCGCAAGGAGCTTCTCCGGGACTCTCCGACGGCATCGCCCGCGCGCCGCGACGCCAATGTCGGCGCGCCCCCCCGCGAGGATCGCGCCCGCTTCCTCCGCTTCTTTTACTCCCTCTTTGCCCGCGCACTCAAAAAGTCCAAGGCTCGGGCGCAGCGCAGCGCGGAGTCCCCGCGACGCGCGCAGGTCGCCCCGGAGGGGTCCCAGCGACGCGCGCGGGTCGTCCGCTGCGCGGAGCAAAGAGAGCTTGCTGGCTGGCTGATAGCGGGCAAGGCTCGCTGGGCAGAGCGACGACGGGCGAGCGAGGCGCTGGGCAGAACGCAGCACGGAGTTCCCGCGACGCGCGCTGGTCGCCCCGGAGGGCTCCCAGCGACGCGCGCGGGTCGTCCGCGGCGCGAGGCCGAGCAATTAGTCAGACCCTCGAGAGACGGCGAGGCTCGGGCGGGCCGCTCCTTGGATCAAGCCTCGCGGATAAACTCGGTGAAGCCCAGCTCCCTGGCGAGGGCCGTCGCCTCCCTCCTGCGCCGCTTCGCGCGCGCAGCAAACTGCTCCAGCTGCTTCCGCAAGCCCTCCGGCGGCCCTGCCAGGAAGAACTCGATGCGCGGCGCCCGCGTGAGCAGGAGGTCCTCGTGGCGCGTGGCGCGCGAGAGCAGCGCGTAGAGCTCCAGCCGCCAGTCTTCGTCCTCCTTCTTGCCGTTCCCCACTTCGTGGCGGCCGCAGTCCAGGATCACGCCTGGGCGATGTCGGCCGAGGGGGCAGCGCGCTGGACAGGCGACGTCCCAGGGCGAGAGTCCACGGGACCGAGAGAAGGTCCGGCTGCGGACTGCTCGCGCCCAGCAGGTCTGGCCGAAAACTGCCCCAGAGCGCTGTTCACTCGTCCCGTGGCCTTCGCGCACGGTGCGCCCCTGGCGCGCCGCCGTGGTGATGACCTTGCCGTGCGAGAACGGGGAGCCCGTTCGGGTGACTTTGGAGGTGCGGAAGGTGAACGGCTCCGACGTGCGAGGCTCGATGAACACCAGCGGGCCCGTGAGGTCACCCGTGAGGCTCTCGTCGTGGCGCTTGAGGTCGTCCTCACAACGCGGCCTCTGGAGGCGCTTCTGGGCGTTGGGGCCCTCAACAAAACTACCCCGGATTGGGTCGAGAAGCCCGGGGGCTTCGCGACGCGTCCACCAATCGGAAGCTGGGGCCCTAAACGGACTGGCCACCAGGATGGGGTCGAGAGGTCTGGGGGCTTCGCGACGCGAAGCAAATCGCAAGTCTGAGGTCTCACCCTCCTGGCCAAGATGTTTCCCCGTGCTCCTCTGCTCCGCTCTGGTATCCGTCATCCGCTACCCGTCATCCTCCACCTTCCCGTCCTCCTCCTCCTCCTCCTCCTCCTCCTCCTCCTCCTCCTCCTCCTCCTCTTCCTCATCGTCGTCGTTCGCAGCGTCAGGGTCGTCATCATCCTCAGCAGCAGCATCACCATCATCATGAGCATCGTCGTCATCAGCCCCATTGTATGGACGATGGTTATGATCATCGTCGTCGTCATCATCATCACCATCGGCATCAGCATCACCATCATCATCGTTATACTACTACTACTGCTGCCGTGTGGTGCCGCGCCGTGCCGTACTGTGGGGTGTTCTGCCGTGTGGTGCCGCGCGTGGTCGTGCGCGCCGTGCCGTGTCGTGTGGCGCCGCGCTGTGCCACGCCGTGTGGTGCCTCGCCATGCCGTGCCGTGTCGTGCCATTGTGTGTCTTGCCATGTGGTTTGTGTTGTCGCTGTGGTGGGCCGATGGCGATGGTATCTTTGACTGAGCCATTCCCAGAGGCCCAGACATCGACATCCTCAGTGCGACGCTCAGGGACGAGTACGTGGAGACGAAGCAGGACCTGCTGAGCCTCATCGGCGCCAGATGGGTGCCCGAGGTCGCTGGACTCAGGATTCTGGGTCAGAGGCGCGTGCTCGAGGTCTGCAGCAGGATCAAGGAGAGGCTGGCCGCCGCGCCCCAGGCGCCCACTCCGAGGAAGAGCTCAGGCGCTCCCACGCCGACGAAGAGCTATGCCACTCCGAGGACGAGCTCGGGCGCTGAGCCTGCCTCCTCGTCGGCTGCGGCGTCGCCGCGGCCTGGCAAGCTCCTGGGCGACTACTGGCGCGTCAGGGCCGTGGACAAGGCGAGCCGCGAGAAGAGCAAGCTGCTCCGTAATGCTGCGCAGGTGCGCGAGTGCGAAACCTCCCGCCCCCCAACATCTTCAACCCTCCCCTGCGCCACAGGGGCGCAGGGGAGGGCGAAGGGAAGGGGGGGGGGCGGGGGAGAAGGGGAGGGAAGGGGGGGGGGCGGGGGAGAAGGGGAGGATAGGAGAAGGAGGGTGTGAGGGGGGGGGGGGGTGGGAGGGGGGGGGTAGGGGTGGAGGGGGCCACCAACCCCTCCTCCTCCTCCTCCCCCTCACTCTACCCTCCCTCCCTCCCCTCCCTCCCTCCTCCCACTCCTCCTCCTCCTCCTCCCCCTCCTCCTCCATCCTCCTCCTCCCCCCCCCCCCTTCCCCCTCCGCCTCCTCCTCCATCCTCCCTCCTCCTCCTCCTACTCCTACTCCCCCCATCCTCCTCCCCCTCCTCCTCCTCCTCCTCCTCCTCCCCCTCCTCCTCCTCCTCCTTATCGGGGGAGGAGGTGGAGGTGAAAGCATTGAACGCCCCAGGTTGACCCCAAGAGCATGCCGCAGGAGAACAAGGGTCGCATCGAGGAGAAGCTGACGAAGAGGAAGGCCGCCGACGCTCCAGAGAAGCACGCGGCCGCGAAGGCCGACAAGGGCAGGGACAATGACAAGGATAAGGACAAGAGCAAGGACAAGGACAAGGAGAAGGACAAGGGCAAGAGCGCAGCCAAAGAGAAGCGGCAGGACAAGGCCAAGAGGACGGACAAGGACAAGGGCAAGGGCCCACAGAAGGAGAAGAAGAGCGCAGCCAAAGACGAGGGGGCCAGCGCAGCCGCAGCGTCAGCCGCTCCAGCTCCAGCGAAGCAAGGTAAGGATGAGGCGCCCAGCAAGCACGACAAGAAGGACAATACGGACAAGAAGGAGAAGCGAGGAGAGGACGCGCGGGACAAGAAGGAGAAGAGAGGAAAGGAGCGCGAGGATGCAAAGGTCAAGGATAAGAAGGAGAAGAAGGCAACATCTAAGAAGGAGAAGGCCGCAGAGGACGACCAGCCAGGTCAGGCAGCGACGGCAGCCCCGCACACCCTAGAGAGGAAGCAGACCGCTGCCAGCCACCAGGCAGACAAGGACAAGAAAGGAGAGAAGAAGCACAAGAAAGAGAAGAAAGACAAGAAGGAGAAAAACACAAGGAGGATGACGGCAACGCTTCTGAGGAGGATTGCTTGTCGGCGATGCTCGAGGAGCTCTTCGACGAGACATCGCCAAATGAGGCGCCGCGCCCGCAGGAGGACAAGGAGGACAAGGGCCCAGATGATGAGTCCGACGACAATGAGGAGGAGGAGGAAGAATCCCAGGACGATTCCGAGGAGGAGGACGAGGACGACGCCGAGGCGGAGAAGGATGACGGTGAAGATGAGGATGAGGCGCCGAAGAGCCCAGAGCATTCGCAGGATGGCGTGGGCCATGAGGCTTCCTCGCCCGCGGGTGCGCCGAACGGCGTGGCGCAGATCGGCGAGCCGCAGTTCCCCATCGCCGACGCCTCCGCGATCGGCTCCGCGGCGGCTGCGGGCGCCAAGGTGGACGGCTAAGGACGCCTGTGCTCTCTCGTGTAGCATGGCACAGCCAGACCGAGGTATAAGATCGAGGTCGGTTCGGGGAGGGTGCCCTCGTGTTCTTCGTGTGTGTTGGATGTTCTTGTGCACCCTGGTCAGGATGCCCTTAGATGCTCTGTCTGTTTTGGCCAGCGGAGGGTCTCATGTTCTTGAGGGGTGTTCTTCAGGCCTAGGTCTGTCTGTATTCGTGAGGTTCCTGTGTTTACAGGTGTGCATCTTAATGTGTACGCACGCTCAGATGCGATTGTCGCGTGCCTGCCAGTGGCGCAACAGTGCCTGCTCATGCGCATCTCAAAGTATAGGTGCTGATTTGTTTTCCGTTTCCGTGGCATTGGAATGTTTATTGTTGCGCTTGCCAACGTTTATGGGTTGCGATCGTATGAGATTGTCACGAGCCTGTCTTGCACATCCGACGTGGTGTCATCGCTTTGCCCTGAAAGCTTTCTGGTCTGAGGGTCGAGGGGCATAGTAAGAGATATGGCGTGCGAAGTGGGGTGGGTGGTGGGGGTGGGGTGGCGCCGGGTGGTGGTGTGGGTTGTTGGTGTGTGGGTGGGGGGGGGGGGGGGGGAGTGGGGGGGAGGTGGGGGAGGGGGGGGGGGGGGGGGGGGCGCATACGCGAACCATGTGTGTTTGAATGGTT